TTCTACGTTTAAATAGTTTGAAACAACTTGTTAGCGCTCGTAATTTACTGAACATGCAGCGACAGCAAATCTCCCACCTGTTATGCTGGAGGAAATTAATCTATTTTTGTGAAAAGTGAAAAATGTTTCTGTCTTGTCTATACTATGTAACTAGCCGTGTCTGGCCGAGTTGTATGCCGATATAATCACCAACCTCCTCGATCTGTATTCGACTATAAGATCCACACTGTTTCTCTTGTATTCACCACATTTTTCATTTTTTTACAATAGCGCAACCACCTGCTAGAAAACCAGACTGGTGCTATCCAATGGAAAAACCATACGGTGTTGCAGTGATCATTAATATCGAACATTTTGAAGAAGAGTTTAAATTCTCTAAACGAAAAGGCTCTCATCGTGACGTAGCGAATTTGGTACGCTTGTGGGGTGACTTTGACTTCCGTGTAAAGATGGATGCGGATTCGACAACAGCTAACGAAATCTACATATTTCTTCGTCAAGTAGCAAGTGAAATCAATACAAATTCTAGCTGTTTCGTGTGCTGTATTATGACTCACGGTGATATGGGCGAGATATATGGTTCAGATGGCAAGCCTCTTGACATTAAATTTATCACAAATTTATTTAAGGAAGACATGTGTCCAGCGTTAGTCGGAAAGCCAAAGCTGTTTTTTATTCAAGCTTGCAGACGAAGTAACAAATTACGCGATCACGCTAAGCCAGAAGTTAAAAACGAACAAGGCTCGAAAGTGGCAGCAGCGGGATCACCAAAAGCCGTGGATTCAGTCGCTGCAGCCAGTGATGCCGATTACGAGAGAAAATTTCTTAAACGAGCAAATCCAAACGAAATTAATTTTTTAATTGGATATTCGACGGTGCCAGGTAACGTTTAACTGAACTCGTCCCAAGAGTCTTCCCTCTTGTGGAGGAAAATCTTTCGTAGCGCCTGGTCATGTGATTTATCAAAAACTAGCAGAATTTTATTGGAAAATCAACACTTCTGCTCACAACAAAATTCAACAATAGTTGAATGTAATAACATTACCACCCCTACCAATTTTATATACGAATTCAAAGTAAAAATATCCTAAATTTTAACAGATCACTTGACCAGCTCTTACCCCTGTACTTTCTTTCCTCTACAAGGGCAAGATCTTGATTGAGAGCCTCTTTTTCAACACGGGCACTGGATTTCCAGAAATGTCAGGTTATAGTTGAGTTGACATCGCTTTATTCGCGATAGTGGGAAAAAGAATCAGCTAACTAGGCCGTTTATCAACACATAAAATCATAAATCATATCATAAAATGAGGAAAGTTTAAGAAATTCAAAATAAACGCCAATGTACTGAATCTTTGCCCAAAACTCTCTGTTATGCTGTCATATACTCAATCAAGAACTATTCGACTAGAAAGAGCCAGCTCCATTACCGCTGCATGTCTCGGACAGTGAACTGGAAAATTCAATTCATTCATTCCGTGTACGTTTACAGTCGAGTGCTTCTAAATGCTGTAATTTCTGTGTCTCTAAACCGGTAGAGTGCAATCTTCATATTGCCTTTGGCCAGCGAACATGTAACTCCCATAATTGTTCAGGTTAAAAACATAGCCGTTAAGGTTTTACTTTGAAACATGGTCTATATACAGTAAACCCGATCGAACGGTGCCACGCAAAGGAATCAAGCTTTTAAGAAGACGATGTTATGATCGATAAAAAGTAGCGAATTATCTGTCACTTATCTTCGTTGAGTTTGTTCGGTCAACAAACTACAATGATACCAAATAAATTTCATTATTTGCTAATTTACAGGAATTTGAATCCGTAAAGGAATTTAGCGAATATTTGTGGCATGGAGGCAGGTTTAGTTTAAATTTCTGCAATGAACTATGCCATTTAAAAGAACAAACCAAACCATGGCAATTTACTTTTAATTGTATTCCTTAGGGTACGTGAGCTACCGGGATGTGGATTATGGATCGTGGTATACAGGTGTATTGTGTGAAATATTTCGTAAACACCACAAACATGAAGATGCCATGTCCATGATGACCAGAGTAA